AAAAAATCCAAAAGGAAAAACACCAAACAACTTAATTTACATGGCCTTCTACCTACAAAGACTGAATCCCCTCCATCATAAGGCTGATAAAAGAAAGACAGATCCTATGAAAGATCACATCAAGGACAATTGGAAAAAAATGTATGCCTTAGGTGAGATTAATTCGTCACAATTACAATATTGACAATACAAAAACCTACATCAGACAGATGCCTAAAAGAAAGAATCAGCTAGTCAGTGTGCCCTAGAGTACTCATCTCACTTTAGGGTGAGTGACTGCACCCTCAAGTGCAATACTTTTAAGTTATCTACATGACTAGCTCATATGTAGATGTCTGCAATATAAATTTTTAGTTTCGTGATATTATTCGCAGCCCATCATCTCACACTGCATTGTACTATATTATTTTCACTTGAAAGAAGATATACTTGTTACATTTAAGCACACAGAAAGTTAAACTATCTCTTTATTCAAGCTAAAAATCTTTTTCAGACCAGAAAAAAGATGTATAAAACTTAAAAGCTGTAATACAAAGGATGCCCATCACTAAACAGAGGACTAACCATTAAGAACATATTTATTAGCATGAAGCACCCACTCATCGAAGGTAATAATTTCAATATATAACCACAGGTGTTTTTCAAAAATCATTAGTATTTCTAATAGAACAGCCAAAATTTCTGACCATGCCTTATTAATTTCAGGAACTTTTTGCAAAGAAAGGTGTGAGAATGCTTAGTCTTAGAAAGGTGACAAGGGTAGAAAGTGGATATCCAAAGCCTTACTTCTTGCAAATAGTCCAGAACATCACTAGTGAAATCTGAGACACAGAGATTATAAGAATCTTTTGTTGAGATGAGAACAGATGTTGAGATGAGAACCTGACAGCTTTTCACCAAACTATTGCTTTGTAGACACGGTCCAGTGACAAAAACCATTTGAATGAAGCATGGCAAGACCAGGATGACACAGCAGCTCTGAGTTCTGAGACATGAGTTTCCTCATTAACTGGTAAATATGGCCTGGTTATTAAAACAACACGAGACAGAGGTACCAAAATCATCAGATCACTTCCTACCTGTGTTGAAACCCTTGGAACAGAAAGGACATGTAAAAGCACTGGCCAGTCTGCCTAGGTATGCTATCAGAAATAGTTTTGCTAGAGATTATGAAGTGCTTTTATAGCAAGTGCAAAAATTTTGGTACTGCTTATTGACACCCAAATCAAAAGAGAGCTATTTCAACAAACCATGGCTCTGAAAGCTGTCTTCTAGGACATTTCTGAAATAAAGCAAAGGCACTTGGAGGGCACCACAATATTGGGAGGAGATCAACTACACAACTGCAAGTAATAAAGTAACTACTTCAGAAGGGCTTAGAGAACAGAAAAAGGATTAAGGAACTATTGTTAAACTATCCATCAGATAATGTTTTATATGACCATATGGATAGTGCCAAAATCTTTACCTATAATTTCAGAAGAACTCTGTACTAACAACAAATAACAATCTGCATTTTTAACACTGGATCTGACTGTTGGCATTTTGAAGGACTGGAAGAAATGCTATTACAGAATGAACTCCTTATGCAGCAATAATGACAAACATGTGGAAGCAGAAAACTTGCAGAGAGGTGGATGTTAAGAATAAAACATAATGTAGAGCTGATTTGTACACAGGTGTATGCATACACACACTCACCCAGCACAGCCAGGTTTGCAACTCACACAGGTTGAGCCAGAAGCTAATTTTACAAATGTTAATGGCATGATGTGTTACAGTTGTTCATTTAAGTCCTACCAACCAGAAATCCATCCTTGAAAAGAAAAGCAACTGAAGTCCTAATCCATTTTACCTAATTCTGATGATTTATGACTGAATTCAGGTCAATGCCACATTTCTGAATATTTGTTCTATTATAGAGATTTAAAAACCCACAAGCAATTTTACTAAGACTGAAAGACATGAACTGGCAGTTCTCTTACAGTGAAATCTCCAGACAGAAAAATGGGGGCAGTCTCACCTCATCCTGCAGAGCACAAAACCAATTGTTTTTATGATAACCAGGATTACTAATGGGAGAGACACCATCTTGAAAACACACAAATGAAGACATTCAGCTCTCTTCAGTTCACAACAGCTGAATCATTGCTTCTGTTTGGCATTAGAAGAGCATTTTCTCACAAACTCTTTGCCTCTGAGACAGTTCTGAGGTTCCTAAAGAAAGGCAGCAGAGACCACTTTTTGTGAAATCAGCTGCAAGACTGTTTCAGAGGAACAAGTGCAAAGGGACACATAAATGAATGTAGAATGATGACCTAAGGAGTCTCAAATATTCTGGCAACAGAATATTCTAGCCCTCAGAATGCCTGTCTGATGTGATCTAATGAGCAAGGTCTCCTAAAAGCCCTTCAAAGAGACAGCAAAGAACAGCAAAAGTAATCCTGGTACTTAGAGAGGAAGGCTGTGACTCAGGAAATCTTCCTTAATTTTACCTCCATCTGCTTTAGTTAGCATTAGTGTAGAAAGAAGCGTCTTTTCTTTCCTACCTCTTCACTGGTTGCATGTAAAGGTCTGTAACTTAGCTTCTCTCTCCAAAGAAAAGGAAAATTAGGATGCAACACAAGTACAATTTAAGAATCTGAATCTTCAAGCACTGCCCTTCTAAACAGCTTATACCTGTGACTACCAATTAATAGGGATTTATAAAGTCATGTCAACCTGGTTTTGATGAAGCACAGGACAGCTACTGACTCACAAGTTTGAACACAACAAAAACCATACAGTGGCCCTGGTAATTTGTATATTCATGATTAACCATCAAGGACAAAACAACTTTAGAAATGGGTGATCTCACAGCATTTTTATTTTTCTATCTGAAAGTCAGCTGTACTGAGAAATTTTACTTTTGTAGAAAAAAAATTGGAATATAAACCAAAAGTACCAGCAAGATATAAGCAGAATGCAAAACATTATTTAAACAGCCAAAATCACATGAAACATTAGGTTGTTTTGAATTTTAATTTTCCATATTCTTCAGAAGACACTCCTGACAGAAATGTAGATCTAAAAATGTTAATATGGAAAGACTACAGACAAAATTTCACACACATGAAATGTTAATTTCATAAGCTGACATCAATAGCAAGTAACTGCTCAGAAGAAACAGAAAGGAATTTTAGAGGACAGCTAAGTGAGGCAAATAAAAAGCATTTGCAAGGGCTGCTTCCTGACCCTTTATGTTAGGGAGTGCATCACATCTATCTAGCACCTTACACAGTAACTGTGCAAGTACATGAAATCTACTGCTACAATCTCTATCTCACGCTGTTTTACCTTCCTTTTCATTTGCACTGTCAACTGAAAATCCATCTAAGATGGTCCAAGTATCCCATGTTACAATCTGCACTTCCAGGATCGAAGCAAGGCATAAGGAAATGGAGGGCACATGCAATTAGAGGATATTAGCCAAGGCAAAACGCCTCTTGCCTTGAATTGTTATGATACAAATATCCACAATAAGAACATTCAGACAAAGTTTTAGACAAGAATTTGTATGGTTTAATATGCTAAAATGTATTTTTAAAATCTGGGGAAAACATAATTTGTAAACTGAAGTTTCTAATATGGTTAAAATGGTCACGTGTCTATCACATCATAAAAGCTGAATGCCTGCATGAATACAGTAAAGTATGTCACAGCAATTTTTTAAGTCTCTGAGTCTCTGACATTGCTGCTTTTATGAAATTCCTATCTTTGAAACAACAACACTCAAGTAAGCTGGTTGGTCTCTTCGAAATACAGAATTAATCCTGGAAACAAGGTTATGATTATGACTGAATTATTGTCATCAGAGTGTAATGGTATGCAACCAAGCAGGTGAATTGGCCTATTTCAAGTCAACTACAACCTACAACACTTTAATTCCCTGTAAGGGATGCAGTAACACAGACCACAAAGATCCTGTGGACTTCTATGCAAATGTACCTGGAGAATATCACCTTATTATAGACTTCCCAAGATGGTTTTCTATCTAACTGCTCCTTACTGAATATCATGCCTATACTATAGCTGCCTTTACATAAACCTAATTAAAATAAAATTATAAAGAAATGCAGATTGTATTAAAACATCTGAAATATGTGAACAATTACGAACAGGTGACAAGATATGTATGGAAATGGTTTGCTATGGAAATCATAGCAGGTGCTCTAAATGGTACCAAAAGACAGTAACACCCACAAAAAAATGCTAATTTTTGAGCAGTTATGGTTTTAAACATACTATAAAAACTTAAATAGTAATAAAAAGCTCTTTGTTTCAGTTTGAATTTCTAATCTTCTCTGTGGGGTCTTTTTCACAGTTTATGAACTCAAACGTCTTGGTTAGCAGCCAAAGCCACTCCCTTTTTTCTTTCCTCCCCCATGAGCAGCCTGCTTAGTCTCCTGTGGAGAGACTGTAGATACTTCCTGCAGGCCTAACCACACTCAAAATTTCTTGCAGCTCCCAAGTTATACTTTCAATTGCCTTTTATTTTATTGTTGTAGACTTCCTCTAGCACTTCTTCAGGGGGACAATGTAACTGGACAGATTGTAGAGGGAAAAAACAGACAGTAATGAACTGACAGCATCCCCCTGCACCACTGGCTGCTGGGTAAGGTAGAGAATTCAGGAGTTAAGCCCGGGAAGAAGGGTGTGGGAAAGATGATTTTAAGGTTTATTTTGGGTTTATTTCTCATTATGCTACTCTGATTTGACTGGTAATAAATTAAACCAATTTCCCTAAGTTGAGCCTGTTTTGCCCATGGCAGGAGCTGGTGAGGGATCTCTCCCTGCCCTTATCTCAGCCCATGAGCCTTTTGTTATACTTTCTCTTTGCTGTCCAGCTGAGAAGAGGAGTGATAGAGCAACTTTGGTGAGTGCCTGGTGCCCAGCCAGGGTCAGCCCACCTCCCAGCTGTGGTGAAAGCCCTGACTTCATGAGCACTTGACAGAAATTACCTTTTGTGCAGCAAGATGGAGAGCAGTCCTTCGGCTGCGATCCGCTCTGTTAACATCAGCTCCAGCCTTCAGCAACGCCTCTGCACAGTCCAGCCTGTCAGCCAGCACACAGTACATAAGGGGAGTTCTTCCAAACTGGTCCTCTTTATCTTTCAGCTCAGAGTTTCCTGAAAAAAACCAAAACAAAGCACCCATTTAAACCAGTGAAGTATATCAGCATCTAGCTAAAAGCAGTACTTTTTAATTAAAAAGTCATCTTACTATAATATGAACAGCAGGTATCTCATTATAATGTGACTAGGCTGAACAAAAACTGGAGTATGTGATAAACTCAAAGTCATTACATTCTGTCCTACTTTTACTTGGCAGTTACAGAATATTTCAAAATACATTTGCAGAAAAAAAGGACATTCAGAAAACATTAGTTCCATGAATACACCTTCCACCAGTAAGATTCTGCAGTGGCACAACTATAAATAATTTTCAAATAGTTACATCAATCCCAGCTGCACAGATTAGTTCAAAAAATATCAACAGCACAGAAGCCAAATAGACCTCCTGAAACCTGTAAACACTGTAGCTAAAACAAACTTTGAAGCCTACTCACAGTAATATTTATTTTAAAAGCATAAACATCAATATTACATCAATACCATCATTTACTTCAGGGTGCCTTACAATATGGACACTACTAAAATAGTTCTCAAGCTTTATTGAACTGATAAGGTTAAAAAGGCAGTAATCTCAGATCCTGTTAAAAAAAGTCAAAACACTATTCCTACTCACAGTCCAAAAAACCCTCCAAAGAAAGCCGTTTCACTATAAAGTTTCGTATTTCTATGATGCCACCACATAAAAGCAAGCACCTTTAACTTCATGGCTGTCAACTATCTCACACATCCAGACTCTCCAGATCTTCAAAGGAGAACCATTGTCTACAGTTACCCAAGGAGCATTGAATTTTACAGGCAAGTTAGTTTTGCTTTTTAATTATTCCTTTGTCCACCTGACTGTTGATGCCTCAAAAGCACTCCAGCAGAGGCATGCTGCTTCTTTAGAGTCTTTGCTCTCCCTCAGCATATTATACTTATCTACATATCCAGTAATTTTATTCTTAATTATAATTTCTATTGATTTATCCAGAAGAAGAATCAAGGAGATTAAATATGAATCAAGGGGAATATAAAGAATTAAAATTCATTCCCTACCAATCAAGCCACTTACAAAAAACACTGTCAAGTAGGATCTTGCCAGTTAGAGAAATAATTTACTCACTCAGTACATTTTTTAGTTCCTTTAAAACTGTAGAGTGATTACCATGTCAATCACATGATTCACTATGTAACACTTTTTTTTGCCTTGAAAGTGTGATTTGCATTGAGAAAAGTCTTTTTGCTCTGCAAAAAGTTTAAGAACATTTCCAAACTTTTCTGTGATGCAGATATAGAAAAATTCTTTTTTTTCTTCACCTGTGGACTTGTTTTCTCTGACTTCACCTTGACAACCCACTGGTTTTACAACTAATCTTGATGCCACTAGCAGTTGACTAAAAAATCAAAACAACAAACAAACAATCCCCCAAAAATCCCACAAGAAGTCTTCTACTGGTGTCACCATCATATTTTCTGAAAAATCCCCTTGCCCAGGATTCTTCTCCTGAGAAGCTGAGAAGCCTCAGAGAAAAAGGAAAACAATATTATCTCATTTGCTTCTCCTGTGTTTTGCTGCTTTGGAATGTGGTTTGGAGATTGTTTATCCAACAGGTGGTTGTTTGATTGGTTTCATGTGAATTGTTTTAACTTAATGACCAATCACTACATTTCACTGCTAAGTGTTAACATAACCTCAACAGTGTCTTAAATTGCTTGAAGCTGATGGGACTTGAACAAATATATTAAGAGAAATACACAAACATTCATTTCTTCCAATAAGACACAAGCACATGGGCTTATGCTCAGATAATGTTGATTCTTAAATCAGCAGTGTCCAAAACCAGCACCTTTCTCTCAAATTCCAGTTCCCCTTCTGTTACAGAATGTCAGAGGATATACATATATATATACACACACACATACAAAAGATTTAGAGGCTAACCACAAGCAAAAATGACCTAAAACTCAAATGCAACATAACTAAGGAGAGCAACAGATATCTATGTTCATTTTCAGTTCCCAAAAAGTGATGTAGCTGATGACAAGGAGTTTCCATGACTGCATACAGTCTGAGGGAAAAATAAGCAAGAGCCTCAAAACTTGATGCCAGTAATCTGCCTGAAGCTCCTGCACTATTTTTGAAGGTAAAGGAACAATCTTCAGCTAGCATCAGGTTTTCTCCTGTTGTTTACCAGGGCTCTGTAAGGCCCTTAGAATGATTAAAATCCTATGAGCATTTCCCTAAAAGGGTATCTTGTGCTCAGGCTAAGAGACAGGACAAGGGCTAGGAACTACTATATCACCATCAGGTGCTAAGGGGAGATTAAGCTGATGAAAGTCACTAGCCACAGCACCTTGTGAACCTCACAGCTGCAGCAAATTGCCATTTCTGCAATCAAGAAAGCACAGGTAGCCTTCAAAACATTCATATTTAGGTACATAGTGTACCTAAAATGTGCTTTGGCAAAAATAAATTCTCTTCACATACCTGTCTAATAAAGAAATTTTAGATCCATTCCCTTTTAGAATAAAAGTCCTCAGCTCACCAGAATATGCATTCCATAAGCTTATTGACAACAGAGATCACGATCACAACAGAATCCAGGGCCCAAGTCCAAAATTTAACTCTCATAACCGTACTTCATCACTTCCTCACACTCCATGCAAACAGTCATATCAGACTCTTAACATTTCTATGCATTTTTCAAACGAGAAAAGGAGAAAGGGCAGCAGGAGGGTGTGAATTCTCCCTAATTATTAAAAGACAGACCATTTCTTGTCACTTGCAAGAATCTTGCCTGCTGCAGTACCTCAGGTTTATCCTACCTCTCACAATGTAGAACAGGCAAGAGAGAAGGAGAGAGTAGGATCAAACAATAGCACACAACTGCATATTTGTAGCCCATAGTTCAGTTAAAATTTACAATGAAACATCACATCAGAGATTTAGAACCATTTGGATGCATGCAATGCATGATAAGGGCTTTAGAATGAGGAGCTGGACTGAACAGACACTTCAGTATAATGATTATTATAATCATTATTTTCTTCTTTTAAACAATTAAAACAATTAGATGCCTCTTCCCAAAGCATAAAATGGAAAATGATCCTCCAAATACAAAATTAACTTTTGCTTGCTTTTTCCCTAGAATCAAAATCATACAGATGGATTTTAACACTGAAGAATTGCTAATTAAAGACATGTCCAGTGTTGTGTAAAACACAGGAAAGAAAATACTGGGATTATTCCCCAAAGCCCAAGAACATACAATTCTAAAACAACGCGATACAGCACAGGACAACTCATGCAATGCAAACAGCTAGCACATTTCTGTTAGAACACTGGTTATACAATTAACACTCGGCAGGTACTTTATGGCATTTAACCCACAAGCTTTTTACAAAGTCCTGTGATTAAGCATTAGCAGTGGTTAACATAGAAAGATACTTTGTTACAAAGCCTCCTTTCTCTAAATAAATTTTCTACCTACCTTCGATTCTTTCTGTGCCTCTTTCTGGCACAGGGTGTCAAAAGGAACACATTATCCAGAACACACTGTATTATTTCAAACACCTGGTCCTTTAAAATTCATCCATACTCTAATTATATGCAAATAAAGCATCTATGTTTGTATACAGCCACACACACTCCACCAAGCTACAGATGGCAGAAGGAAAAATCACCAAAGAGGTTTGAGGGGCTGCTCCAAGAGACCGTTTGGCCAGCCTCTATGCCCCTCCTCTGTTAATAACTGAACAGGGAAAGCATGAAGAGGAAAGCAATAAAGAATTTAGGGAATAAAGGGTCCTCCCTGAAAGGAGGAGAAAGTCAGGACTGTCCATTGCTGCATCCACCTCTAGCTATGTATCCAAGATACAGAGCTTGGCTGTATTAGAGAGGTGTTTTTAAGCAATCCAGCAGACATAACACTGGAGTACTGTCCTGAATTAGCTGCTGCTGCTGAGTGCAGTCATGAAATTCAGTGAAAAGCACCAATTGCTCAATTTGCTTCTGGCATCAAGTTATATTTTAAACACTGACTGGTAAACAGCTAAAAATATTACTTTAATGCATTCTTCTTCTGCTAGGCAATACGTGAAATTTTGGGTTGGTTTTTTTATTTTTTTCTTTTTGGTCCAGTTCTGGAAAAAGTAAGGTCTGTGTCATTTCCTGTCAAAACATGGCAAAGCAGAAAAGCCAAATTTTGCTAGTACAGCAAATGCTATAAGGATTGTGCAGTTTTCTCTCCCATGCAAAAGTAAAACAGCATTTTTATATTCTTGCTGCATGACCATCATTGAAAGAAGAGCATTTTCTTTATCTGGTTCTAATGGCTGTTTTGTGGTATGTTTGACAAGATGTACCAGCAACAAGAAATAATATTTCTTTCATGTTTCCAAAAATATGTCTTTTGGCGTTGAGTTTAACAAAAACATACTAAAGTTACCAAACACTCTTTGTTGCTTCTTCAGAATTTGAAAGCCCACACTTTTTTCACCTCCACATGCAGGCAGAAGGGTTTTTTAGAAACTTGGATATTTAAAGCTACTTTGTAGTTGAATCACACAGTTTTCTAGAAGTACCTCCATATCATCTGCTGTTTATAAAATGTTTTTAAAAAGAGCAAATAGATAGCATTAAAGGCAAACAGTATATGTTTGAAGCATTATATGACAAAATAAAGTTGAGGGCCCAACAAAAAAAAACTGTTTCAACAAGTGCAGCTTCTATAAAGTCAGTTCCCTCAAACGTGCTCCTGGTGGAGTCAAATCAGTTCTAGTTATGTTTTGAGAAAATTAGATACATCTTGTAAAGAAGAGCCCCTTACTGCTTTCTGTGCAGCTTGGACAATACATCAACATAAGTCTTCACCTTGCCTTCAACACAGGTCAGCAGAAGACATCTGACTGCTGGTTTCATGCTGTTATCATTAAATCCTTCACACACATGAAAAGTGACAGTAAGTGTCATAAATACAGCCTGTGCTTCTTACTATTTCACAGTCCTTCAACCCATGCTAAGCTCTGGGAATAGGATTTTCCAAAAAACACTGAGCAAATAGAGCTTCTTCAGTATCACCTGGAATTGCATTTAATCAGAAGCTCTGAAAAATCCAAGTTTTCACCTGTAATATGGCAGCCTTCCAAATATATGCAAGACTGGTTTTGGAACTTAGAATATATACTGTTTTTAAAAACCATTAACCTGGAATGCCATACCATTCCTGAAGAGTAAGGGAAGGCAAAATACTGAGCTTTTTAATGGATGTGCATTTTTTTTTTACTTCAGATTCAACAGGGCTAGACACTCTCATTACTTTTAATTTCTTTTGAGAAACACTGTCAGTCTATCAGAATCAAAGTAATAAATAAGGCTGGGCTCATTTTGTTAACACATACTACACAGTGACAAGACTTCAGAAACAATAATAAATTATCTGTAGAAACACATTTATCAAATTTCCCAAAAAGCAATTAAAAAAATTAAGCTGAAGTATTTCAGCACAAAGCACTTCTTCAGAACTTCAAATTCCCTGAAAGGAGTTCTATCACTAACCAATTTTCTATTTTACTTCACAAAGAAGTACCAATCAAAAGCAACAGGTAATAAAAAGTAAGAAAAATCAGTCATCTTTTCAGGGCAACATTTATTCTAGAAGCACATATAACCAAGATATCAAAAGTACCTTAAAGATCAGAGCTGTAAGCTGAAACTAAAAAGCTTCAGTTCTGAAGTAATCCAAATGCATCTACAGTGAAAACATTTACCTGCTATTAGCTTTTGGAGGGTACTCTTATCTCCATTAACAGCAGCAGCATGCACTTCAGATGCTAACGAGGAACCACTGAAGAGGCAGTTTGCTGAAATATTCATACTCTTTCAAGGTATTACTGTAGGTCACATCTGTGCCACCAACATTTTTTGTAGATATTCAGTTCTAGAAAAAAACCCAAAACCACATTAATAATAGAATTATTTTCATGATGAGTCATTAACGTTATTCAAACAATGCTAAAGAGAATAAACTTCTGTTAAAAACAGAAAAAACCACAGGTTTTATCAGTGAATTAAATCTACCTCTAGCCAAAATCCACCAGAAAAAAAGCCTGCATTAAGAAATATATACCTATATATTGTAGTTTCATTGCCTTAAACACAAACTTCAGTCCATAAGCTTTGCCAAAGTCTGTAAAGTGTTTCTGTGCAAATCAAACAGACTGTTCTTCAGAGAGTTGTCATGCATTGCTTTAATTCAGTAACCAATAAAGTTAGTTATCAAGTATCAACTTATTATAGTCCTGCATAGAGAAACACAGAATCCTGAACTGGAATGGACACACTGGGACCACTGAAGTCCAGCTCCTGGCCCTGCACTGAACATGCCCAAGAGTCACCCCATGTGCCCCAGAGCACTGTCTAAACACTTCTTGAACCCTGTCAGGCTGGTGCTGTGACTACTTGCATGGAGAGCCTGTTCCAGGGCCCAAGCATGCGCTGGGTGAAGAACCTTTTCCTAATATCCAACCTAAACCTCCTTTGACACAACTCCAAGCCATTCCCTCGGGTCCTGTCACTGATGATCACAGAGAAGACAAGAGTGTCTGCCCTCGTCCTCTCCTCACAAGGAAGTTGTGACTGCAATGAGGTCTCCCCTCAGTCCCCTCTTCTCCAGGCTGAACAGACCAAGGGACCTCAGCTGCTCAAGGCCCTTCACCATCTTTATAGTCTTCCTCTGGACACTCTCTAATGGCTTAATATCCTTCTTATATTGCATCACCCAAAACTGTCCCCAGCACTGGAGGTGAGGCTGCCCCAGCTCAGAGCAGAGCAGGACAATCCCCTCCCTTGCCTGGCTGGTGATGCTGTGCCTGATGCCCCCCAGGACACACCTGGCCCTCCTGGCTGCCAGGGCACTGCTGACTCAGGTTCAATTTCTCACTGACCCCTTTCCATGGCACTGCTTTCCAGCATCTCACTCTCAGTCTGTCCAAGCACTCAGGTGCAGAATCTGACACTTTGCCTCATTAAACCTCACACAGTTGGTGATTGCCCAGTCCCCTGACTTGTTGAGCTCTCTCCACAGAGCCTCTTTGCCCTAGAGGGAGATAACAGCTCCTCCCAATTTTGTATCATTTGCAAACTTGTTTAGCATCCCTTCCAGTTGCACATCCAAGTCAATAATGAAGAAATTGAAAATCACAGGGCTGAGGATGGTGCCCTGCAGAGCCCCACTAGTGATAGGTCCCCAGTCTGATGTCACCCCATTCACTGTAACCCTTTGTGCCCAACCCATGAGCCAGTCTCTCACCCATCACACGACCTGTTTATCCAGTTGTGTATTGGACATTTTGTCCAGGAGGATATTGAGAGACAGTACTGAAAGCTTTACTGAAATCCAAAGAGATTCCATCAACTGATTCCATCACCTGACCTTACTTCTATTGGGCATACACCTTGGTTTTTTTCCATTAGCTCCAAAAGAAGATGCCTGGTAAGCCAAGCCAGCTTTCTACCTCATGTGCTTGACCTCTGACATTTTGGAATTGCCAGCCCCTGTGCCCTTAGGAGGTGATGCTCAAGAAGTGACCAGTACTGATGGACCCCAGCACCTTCACAAGCATTTTCTCAGGGATCTTACTATCTAGTTCCTCCATTTCCTTCACGTTTTACCTCTCAACAAATAAACTAAAATAAAAGAAATCTAGGGGCAGCAGCACAAAATTCAGCAAATAGCAAAGAACTCAGTGAAGCACCAGAAACATCCCAATAACATCAACAATAATTTTTCCATAAAACAGACTGCATACAGAAGAGAATTAATAATGAAAAAATGTTAATAGTTTCCTGATGAAAGCAACAGTTCTGCATAAAGTGTTAGTAATTGTACAGGTGAGAGAAGCAATCCATTACCTCTACAGCAATTCTTATTAAAGTGTTATGATTCCATTGAATGGGCTAATTCTGCCTCAGAGAAGTTCTGAAAAGGAAAACTTGTAACATTCCTCAGGTATTTTTCTCATATATATAACAAGCAGATTATATATATAACATATATATATTATATATATATATCATATACATAACAAACAGAATGCTGCTGGAAGACTTACTTGATAAAGATCCTCGTTAAGAAAAAAAATGAGACATAGTCAATAAAAAACCCATTAAATAAGTAAAAGGTCTGCTTATAAAATGCTACATAATTGGCAATATCTGTAATATGCATCATATTCTTGGAATCAAGTAAATAATTCACTTTTCTTCTTTAAGCTAACATGTAGAAAAATATTAGCCATCTCAAGTCACTTAAAATGAAGGAACACTCAAATGGACACCAAGGCCTCTTCAAGGTGTGTGTGAAATTTTATACCAAGCACAATATTTTGTCTACTTTGCATAACACAGCAAGAATTACATCACATTTCCACTCAGCAAAACATGATGTTGTTAAAATTAAAACATGATAGCACATTAATGCTATCAAACTTTATTGATAGTTTCAAGTGAAGACTCAGCTTTGAAAAAATATCAAAGATTTTTCAAATGTGAGTTAGTGCACAAGATGTTCGTTCTACAGATCAAAGAGCACAAGTTCTTAAGGTAGTCATAGCAGAAGAGATAAAAGCCAAGTTTCAATTTCAGACAATAAGAGATACATTACTTGTATGTATATCTATGGGTGCGAGAGTGTTTGCAGCTCATGAAACTGACAGGCCACGAGATCTTTGCAGGGCCACACAGTCTGAGCCTGTCAGGCTTTCTTTGAAACCAAGCGAGCCCTAACTTGAAAAAGGCTGATGTGAAGGATTTTCTTCTAAATGGTGTTACACCCATCCCCCTCCTTATACTCGTGTGCATACTGGAAATGTGATAAACGCAAAGCACAGTCTTCTGTCATTTTTGAGACAGCTCTGCAAGGTCTCAGAGCGTGTACGTATTCTGCAAGGTCCAAAGTTTTACTGGAAGAGAGCCGAGCCCTGAACTTCGGGTGTTCTTCATTTTCAGCATTTACAGCTGAGGAAGCGACAGAAAGCGCAAATCTGTGGAAGCGCCAAGGGATAAACATCAACGATGACGCTCCACGCGAGCTGAAGTTTCCCAACCCGCCCAGCCCCGTCACACACAGGCTTCCAAGCACAAAGTTTCCTCCCAAACTCCGAGGACACGAATCCCACAAGGAGCACAGTGCCTGAGCTCCCCTTCTCCTGTTCCCCACGCCGAACCCGCGTGCCCAGCCCCGGCTGAAGGCACAAGGCGGGATCCAAAGGAAGCGCGGGCAGCCGCTGGGGGCTGGCACGGAGCGATCCAGAGCGGAAGAGGGTGCGACGCCCCGGGACAGCCGCGCCACCACGGCGGGAAGGGTTAACCCTGCCTCGCCCAGGCCGCCTCCCTCTCGCCTTCCTTCCTCCCCTCCCTTCTCCCCAGCTCGGCGCTGCAGCTGCGCCCCGCAACTCACCTCCACCCCGCCCTTCTCCTCATCGCGCCGCCACCTCCAGGCGCCGCCCCGCGGGCTGCCCCGGTGCGCTCTGGGTTCCACGCCTCCTCTCCCGCTCCCCCTCTCTCTCTCTCTCCCCTTTCCTTCCTCCTCCTCCTCCTCCTTGCCCTCCCCTTCCCGGAACTACGCTTCCCGGCGTGCCCCGGGAGCGCGCGGCGGAGCGCGGGCCCCGCGGTGGAACTTGCCCGGGTGTTTCCTGGCGACGGGGGAAGTGCAGGAACCGCCGCCGCCGCCGCGGAGAGTGGGAGCCGCGCTTCTCCCCTCCCCGCTCCCGGCCGCCCGATCTACCATGAGACCCGCCATCTTCCCGCTCCTGCCTGACCCTGGCTGCCTCCTGCTCCTCCTGGTAAAAGCCGCCGGCCCCCCGCTGCCCTTCCTTTCCCCGCGCCGGCTCGGGCAGGGCGGCGCTGGGCTGGCCGGCGGGCCCCGCTCGGGGCTCCTCTCTCGCTCCCCTCCCCCGCCCAGCAGGTGCCGGCGGCCGGCAAGGAGGGAGAGAGGCCGGGAGGGAGGCCCGGAGGGAGGGAGCGGCCCCGGCGGCGGGGCCCGGCGGTGTGGCCGAGGCCGATAGGCTGCGCGCACGGGGTGGGGCCGCGGCAGGGCCCGGGCCCGGGGCAGTGTCCGGGCGGGCGGCGCGGCCTGGGCCCGGCTCCGCGGGTGCCGGAGCCGGCGGGAACGGCCGTAACGGGGGCGGCTCTGCAGCCCCCTGAAAGAGGCTGTGGCCGGGGGGTGCGGCCTCCTCTGCCAGGGCGGGAGGACGCGGTGGTCCTCAACTGCGCCAGGGGAGGTGTAGGTGGGACGTGAGGAGGAATCTCTCCGCAGCAAGGGCCATTAGACACTGGAGTGGGCTGCCCGCGGAGGTGGTGGAGTCACCGTCCCTGGAGATGTTCAGGAATGACTGGATGTGGCACTTGGTGCCGTGCTCTAGTTGACACGGCGGTGTCGGGTCATAGGTTGAGCTCGATTATCTCAGAGGCCCTTTCCAGCCTCATTGATTCTGTGATCTTTAGTTGACAGACTACAGCATTTTTTTTCTTAGGCTTTTTTTAGGCTGGCATTACATGCATGACCTAAGCCACCTTCCAGCTTTGCCAGTACACAAATGCAATCATTGATGTGTGTGTTTTGTGGAGATAACTTACTTGCCCTATAGTTCTTTTTTTTTTTTTTTTTTTTTTTTTTAAGAAAGAGGAACCAGTCTGCTGTGCTGATTCATTCTTACTTTTCCAGAGATATATTGGATCAGATTCTGGACCTTTCATAATATAAGTGACTTGCGGAACTAAGAGGGACTTGTGTGAATGAATTTTAGTAGGATTTTTCTCTTAAGATACTAAGGATTTTAGTCAATCTATTTTAAATATTTGGAAGAATAAGATGGGCCAGAAAACTAAAGAATAATTGGAGGTAATGGTAGATAGAACTCTGCAAGTCCAAGGAAGTATACTGAGTAGTATAGCTGCTAATGAATGGATGAACTGGTTAGGAATGTGAGGACACTTCTGTAATGAGCAGTACAAGTATTCATTATCCCTTTGAGATATACACTTCTAGCTGGGTAAGCTCTGGGTAAAATAGTATGAACTTGCTGTCATTTAGAAAATGCATATGATTGCTAGGGTTTGAAAAAACACTTCTGAAATGTTTATATATAGATGGCAATAGCATGCTAAAAGACTATATGAGAGACTGAAGTTAGGAACCTCATACTTTTCAGTCATCTGTGTATTAAAACAATATTGCTTATGTGCTAGATTGGTTTTCACTCTTGTTTTACGTACAGACTAATGAGCAAAACCAAGGAGCATGTACTGTTCAAAGACACCATAGAATGTGTCCATTAAATAGACAACTACAAATTTGAAGAAGTGGGCGGAAGTCAGTGAGTTTTTCTTTCTTCATGGCAGAGTTGATCAATACAAGTTAAATATGCATCAATAAGAATTATGTTTGCCAACAAAAAAGAAAACTAGCAGGAAATAGCTGCAACTATTGATCTGCAACTTCTCTGTATTTTGTCTGCTGTTTCTTTGTGTATGTGTCATTTAAACCCATTTCTAATGTGGTTTAAAAGAATAGAATACATAAAACTTTAAGAAGAATACAGTTCATAGGTTTGTTTTTTAAAAAAAAAATAAAATTAAATGCAATGTTATCTGTGTAATTATTCAGTGTCATTTTATCAGCCATGGTCCTGTGTTGTAAGATGCCTAGTTACATGAATCAAGCCAATGAATCATTCCTTTTAGTAGGTTTTTAAAGGTTTTGGAAAAGTTGTTCCAACCAGTCTAGGAGTGTGGAGGGATCCTCTTTCTTCAAAAGGGCTGAAAAAACTTTGCCTTGTTCAAAGAGGCCGCCCCTCACCTGGCCGCAGCCTCCTTTGAAAAAACTTTGCGTGTTGTTTGTTTTCTTGTGATACTCAGTGTCCCTGATGTCCCTGAGATGTATCAGATAAGCTTTGAAGTTCCAGTAACTTTGTTTTTCTTGTTACCGACTGCCTCTTAACAGCGCAACTTGGCCTTCTGCTCCTCATCCAAAGGGTGTGCCACCTGACCGAGGCTCTTGGAGCATGGAATATTTTGTGGATAAGTGAATTTGTTAGTGTTACATCAGGGGTTCGTAAGACAGAATACACGCTGATATGTAGCTGTGAAAACAACTTGCTAAGCTGGTTTTGCTTAGTAGTAGCAATGAAGTTATCAGGAATTCTTTTCCAGACTTTTGGAAAAGCATATTTCTTTTCCAGATGGGAATTTAATATCCTGCAAAAAAGAAGAAAAGATACAATGTCAAATCAAAATAAATTCTCTTGTCTAAAGTTTGACAGATCAGTATAGTTGTAAAGGGCTTTGTGTCTCATATTCTTCTTCTGTGCTAATATTCTTCTTCCCTGGTGTCACTGAAGTTTGGGTTGACAGGAGGGAGATTGCAGTGCAAAGGGATACCTGCAGTCCCAGCACAACTCTGCCCTTCCAGCTTTTCAGCGTTGTACTGGGCTGCTGGGAGTTGGGAGGAATCCGGAGCAAGAACAGGGGAGGTGCAGGCTGGCACGACCCCTGCCTCAAGAGCTGAGAGGAGGGGTGAGCAGTGCACAGCACAGACAGCAGAGGGTCCTGTACAGCTGTTTGTTTGCAAGACCAGAATAAGAGATGCACAGGAATGTCATGGGGCCCTTGGAGAGTGAGATGTGTCTGCCTTGTTGGTATGTTTCTTAATACTGGGCAGGACACATCTTTAAGATGAATCCGAGACAGCGGAATAAATGCTGATGGGAGAGTGGCTCATCACATTGTCCCCTAAGGCAAGGTGTGGCTCTCTGGCTTTGCTCCATCATTCTGTATGTTTGCCTGTAGTTGCAGTCGGGTATACTTTGCCTTTAAAGAAAATTCTAGAACAAGACACTGTTGCACATGCTTCTTCTGCATGTGTTTGAGAGGCACTTGTATTGCTCAGTGCTTCCCTGGGAGGCTCAGGCACAGTGCCCCTGAGCAAAACTGTGGCTGGAGGAAACCACCAACAGATAGTGAGGGAAATGAAGAGGGAAGTTTCTAACTGGAAAAATACTGTAGGGTAATATTTTTGTTTCTTGTTTAACTGCCACTGCATTTCATGTCTTGATAACATGACACCAAGTACCCAAATAATGGCAGTAAAATTAAATAAAAATTGTCTTAGTGTTAAATGCGTAGTAGGTTGCCCAAGGAGAAGTTGAACTCTGTAAATTTTATGTCTAGACCATATAGCTGTGCATTTGCCTCTCTCTGCATTTGTATTAGAAAACTAAATTTGTAATTGAGACTGCTGCTCAAAATTCTGAATATGAGCATGAGTCAGAAATTGTAATTACAGGCAAAATTTAGGCCACTGAGCCTTATACAATGAAATGGGTTCCCTTCAAGGGTAGCACAGGACTTCTGAGTTTTCCATCATCTGCCATGATTTCTAAATGAAATAGCAGATAGCTGAGGAGCATTCCTCTTTGGAGAGGGGAAGCAGAGGAGTCTTGAATTCCTGTGAAGACAACTTGTATTCTTAGTGCTATGCTAGGCAAGTTTCCTGTTTGGAGTGCTCACGAGGGAAGAGAGAAGAAACTGAGCTGTTTCTTGGAACAGAAGACTCTAACAATGCTGGAAAATGTCTAAATGAGTTATTGACACTAAGATCTCAGAGATTCTGTTGCTGGTGGCTGTGATGACACACTCCTTGCTTTTTCCTTTGATATCTTTACTGTTCACTTCCATAATCTGCTTTGGTTTTTGTTTGGTTGGGGTTTTTTTGTGGTTTTTTGGCAGGACAGCTTTCCTAAGCAAGAGACTGGTCCTTGTATTGCTTTCTCAAGAAAGCAGCATTACTATATGGTTTAATCAAACCTACTTAATTTGAAAGACTTTAGGATTATATGCTGCTTTCAGGAGAACAAATTTTTCACCTTGCAGACTCTTTTATAAGCCTCACTTGTATAGCTTCCAGATATTTTGTTTGCTTAAGAGGAGGGAATTGTCTCATGCATAAGGCAAGTGTACAAATATACTGTAAATTTTATACCAGACCTTCTTCAAAACCTCTTCAGGAGAGTCTGAAGATAATTCAAAACCAAGTGCTTTAATAATGCTTTAAGTGGGTTTGGATGCATTAGCAGCAACTCGTTCATTATTCCCCCCACTCCATTTGAGAGTGAGTTCTCTGGTGGTCTAGAGGAGGAAACAAAGCAACATTTGGGGAGGAAAGCAGAAGCAATACAGGGTGCAGAGATCAGAGCCTAAAGAATATTCTTCCAAAACTCCAAACTGGAGAAAGCTCCTGGAGAAGTAGAGGAGGAGAAGTGTGTTATAGAGAATTAGGAAAAGAGGTGAGATCAAATTTCCTTTTGAGTGTTCTGCCTTTATCCTTCTTTTCTCCTTGACATGTCTTCCTTCATCAGGAGCATCCCAACCATAGGTAGAAACACATGCAATTTTCTTTTCCAACACTCTTAGTAACGTCAAGTGCTCATATTGTCTAGTTAAAATAAGTTCATAGCTAAGATTTTAGAAGTTTGAATAG